ACGTACTAGGTGATCCATTTAAAACTCCCTGTCAGCATTCGAGAGATGTGGTAGAACCATGGATCAAAATTATCTCGAAGAACGTTTCTTCATAAAACGTTTCAGTTCGGGATTCTGTTCCATTAAATTATTTCATAGGGTTATGAATCAAGTTCTAAAGCACATACAGTACCAATATATCTGAATATCGGTCTCCTTCACAAGAACTGGAGCACAAGAATCACTCAAAGTTGTGAAATAAATGATGGCCCTGGATATAAAGAAGCCTCCGCTCGGGGGATATGAGAACTACGAGGGGTATGTTTGAGAGAAAATAAAACATCAAGTTTCACTATACGAAGTCGACCTCATGGTAAAACGACTGTCTTATAGTTACATACAATTACCCAATAATAAAACATTACTAAGTCACATTTTCAGTTCGCTCCCCCAACCATGGCTTTGAACCCAATTCCCATACCTTGAAGTCATTCTACGACTTTAAGGCTTAGAAGACCCTAAGAGCCCTGCCAACTTGCAGGCCGCCTCATGGGAGGACGCACCTTCCAGAGTCACAGGATTTCACTGGCTTGCCAAGTTCACGAGGGGGATGACGAGCCTTGCAGATGACCTGGCAGGCCACCAAGAGCGGTGATCTGGGGGTATATTAGCCTCGTGCAACTAATGATTGTTGATGATACTCGACACACTCGCGCCATCGCGGGGATGGGATCGGGGGAGCGGAGTCGAGATCGTCCATCAACAGCTCGGTGTGAGGATGGAATCTTGGCAGAGAAATGTGTGCGAGACCCAGAGACCCAGGTTCAAAGCCACGGTTGAAGTAGTCGACCCTGATGAATGTCTTCTGTCGCTGCATGAATGAATGAATGGTTGATTGTCCCTAAAGAGGCATATATACATTGGCACAACCACAGAGGAGTCGGTAGAGCGAAGGCATCAGAAAGAAAGGCACTGAATAGACGAATGAATGAAACGCACACAAGAGAGAGAAGCTTGATGGAAATAAACAACAAACACCAAAGCTCATACAATGACTATCTCAGAGAAAGATGGCACCATGAATAGAGTACTGGAGAGAGAACAAAAGTGACTCAAGACAATACGAGAATGACATGACGGATTATGGATGCAAGTGGCAAACAATGATAATATCAAAACACTACTTTCCTAGTAACACAGAGAAACTAGGCTGCTTCCTTTCAAAGGAAAATACGAAAGAGGAATTCTAAATATTAAAATATCAAACCAACTCCACAGTTTCATTTCAGTAAAACTAAATATCCCATTACCAAGCTTTCTGAGATTTTATCAACTCTTGAACATGTCTCAAACTCTCAGAGATTGCTCATGGAGTTAAGAATGCAAAAGGCCCATAGCCCCACGAGATCTCCATTAGAAATTAGAAACCCGGAAAAATGAAACATTTTCCTTTGAGGAACTCTTTCATTCAAAATTGAAACATGAAACTCATTTAATTAAAATGGAGAAGTATGACTCTCAGGGACTCAGGTGACAGCCCACTTGTCTGTTGGCAGCCAGGCCAAAGAAAGCAGTAATTGACATTAAAATGGGAAAAGAATGGAAGACCATGAATAAGTGATAAATTATGAATAAATTAGAGTTCTTTGCCCTTCTGAATTGGACTCTTTCAACCCTAAAAAAAAGGGGGGGGGGGAAGATGAACATTTTGATTCTATTAAGTAGAATTTACCATCCTCTCCAGTCTTCCTCTATAATACTCCATTCAATGTTCTATTTGAGAACTCAAGAGTTATGAGCCCATTTGATCTGATCCTGAGGCCCTGTAAAAACCTTGAGCAGTGGGTCAATTGGGCGATGAAGTATCAACAGCAATGCTTTCGTTGCACTATTCTTATATAGGATCATAGGATTTTTCAAATATGGACATCAGTCAGATGTCTCCTTCCATTTCTTTAGAATTTCATACTTCTTTCCCAGATGCAGACAGGGATTTATCAGCAGACTAAAATTCAATTAATCTTCCCATTCAAGTCTCCTTTTCCTCCTTTGGAATATCATGGTATTTTTTTTCACAATATACACAGGGATTTATCAGCAGAATGAAATACAATTAATCTCCAGATTGCTCAAGCAAAAAACCTGACTAAAATTGATAGATCAGCAGCCATGAACAAAACTCAACTACATCCTGACTTACACTGCCAAAACTCATAACTTGATCAATTTATTTTGCTCAAGTATGAAATAAATAAATATTTTAAAGCAATGGCATTGGAGTGGCAACAGTTACTGGAGGACACTGATTAAAAGGTCAGGCAAGACAGCAGGAGAAAAGAACTTGAATGAAATAGTGATTGAAGGGCCAGGAGAGTAATGAAGTGGGAGTTCACTGCACCCCACAGTTTGACATAGTCCAATTTAAATGCCACAAGAATACATCTTTTGCTCAAGATAAATTGGTCACACTGACGACTTCAGTCTATGTCAGACCAACATTTGTCCAAACACCAATTTTCACCATAATCAGAGTCACATTCTTCACACTTCACAGATGTTGCTGTACATTGAAGGTGGGAACAGACAGAACCACAGACAATAGCAAGAGTTAATATTCTCCTAATATGTAAAAAGGCCCATGAAAAATATGGGGGCAGAGTGGGAGATTACGTGGCACTCCATCTAGGTGAAATACAGAGGAACCCATTAACAGGGTGAAGAAGTAGTAATGCAACCCAAAAGAAATAGCACATACATTTTTTTTTTTATCCCACTAAAACCTAGTCCCACTAGCACCCATAACTTCAGTTTGAAGCTTTGGTAGGTGTATACCAAAGCCTATGGTAGGTTTCCATAAGACATACAATAGCCACCAATACTTATTTTGGACTGGACAAATTGAAGAGTACATATACACCATGTATAGGACTGTGTTATACACCTGCCATTGAGCCTTCCTACTGAAGTTATGGGTAATAGTAGAACTGGGTACTAGGTTTTTGGTGGAGTAGAAAACTTATATGCTGCTTCTTTTAGTCATGGTAAGATTTACTTTGGGTTGCACAACTTCTCAATCACCCTGTATGATGAAATATTTAATATGAAATGCTTGGGATATTTCAGCAAGACAAAACTAAAGCAAGAGAAAGATGCAATAGCTATATTCTGAGGAGGAGCAGCAAATGAAATTTGATTTTGACCATTGGACCAAACAAATGAAGGTCTTCTATCATTTCTGTCACAGACTCTCTCTCACTTGTGAAGTTTCACATAGGAATGAAGCACCCATATGCACTAATGTTTTTGGTAAAAAAAAAACAAAAAACAAAGAAACTCTGTGAGCCACTCAAGTGCATGCAAAGCAAATACCAAGCACCAATCAATATTTCAATTGGCTGTTTTTCCCCAGAACACAAGACCAACAGTCGAGAATCATCGGTCAGAAAAGGATACGGTGTTTTGAGGGCTGAAAGGCCTGCTTGAAGAGCCACTGTGAAGACAGACTGGGAGGAGAGCTGATAAAGCTTAAAGTTCTCAGATCTGAACTGTTCAATCAAATGGTTCCATCTGTCTTCAGACAGCAGCTCACAGTAAGGCGATATCTCTGAGGGAGAGAAAATGCAGAACAACAAAATTTCACCATTTCAGTTATAGGAAGCTTTAGATTCTCAAAGCAGAAAATGTTAAAATGCCAAAAACTGACAGTCATTCAGACACCACAAACTTTTGCAGTTCATAAATTGTTAATTAGGAATATACAGACAAAAAAATAACTGTTCTCATGATGCATTTCAAAGCATACAACTAATGAAACCATGCTTCCTAATTAAGTTACAATTAAGGCATTCACACAAAAAGGCAATAACTTTGAATAGACCTTGATCTGGAAGCAGTTCTGCTACCATCAAGGTCAGTTTTTTCTGGGCTTTATTTCTGTCTGGGTCTTGATTGCCAGTAGAATTTAATCCATTTTTCCATCAAGGGTGTATAACACACATCAATGGAGCACACAATATAACTTGATAAACTTTCATTTTGTGCAACCCATGGGTAAAAAATGCAGCAAGAAACATTGGAAGAACTTCAGAAAACCTCCCATATGGATGGTACCAGTTTCTGGATAACATTTTTTAAAAGTGATTTAGTTGACTTTGGTGAATTTGAGTAGCTGCCACAATGGGCACATATACACGACTATACACTTAGTTTCTATAGATCAAGGTCTCACCCGCAGGTTGGCCCTTCTGGAGACAAAAAGGCAATGAAATTGTAACTAACATTGCAAGCTACAAGATCATTAGCAGAACAGAGAACCACAACACTGCCATTGCACTTTTGCAAAGGGATACTGTTGGAGATGAATTCTGTAGGCACATTTATTACAACCCAGCCAGAGCCCAATAGAAACCAGATGGGGGAAACTTTCTCCTTTCCTCAGATGGTTTTGAGGGCTTCACCTGACCTCAAAGCCACTCGATCTCGATGGCGACAGACAAGGTCAACATCGCAAGCGATCGTTTTATCGGGCTTCATCTCGGGTGGGCAATATCGGTCATCAATCGGAAACTTTCCGAAACTTCACATAACGAGAAATGATGTTTACCCGTGTTGGTCGGGAAGGCAAGAAGAGCCATGCACTGCTGAATGTCGATGAGGTGCTCGTCTTCCAGACCCGTGAAATACTTTCGCGCATGTCTGTACAAAAGAAAGAAGGCATCCTTTGAAGTTCAATTGCTTGGCACCACAAAAGGTCCCAAACCTGAAACTAAAAACTGATTAGATGCATAAGAATGAAAGACAGAAAACATTCGGTATGCCTCTCATGAATTTCCTACTTCATGACTTGCATTCCCAACATGTATAAGGGGGACAATGTAAAATGCAATTTTTTTGTGAATATTAAAATACAAGGATAAAATACAGTATTAAAATACAAGGATAAAATACAAGGATAAAATACAGTATTAAAATACAAGGATAAAATACAGTATTAAAATACAAGGATAAAATACAGTATTAAAATACAAGGATAAAATACAGTATTAAAATACAAGGATATGGAAGATTCAATATTCTGAGGAATGGGAATTGTGTAAGTTGCTCCATTATGCTTCTAACCCATTCTGATCACCTTACTGTAATGAAAAAATATGTGTATTCACATAATGCCCAATGAAAGAACAGTAGCAACTTGGCTTTGAAGATGTATCTTGCAAGGGTACATACTATACATGTAGCCCTTCTACAAGATACAACCTTCAACACATTCTCAATATTTAGACAGTTGAAAGTAGTTTATAGAGATAACAATCACCCTAAGATAAATCTGTTGCTAGGCATTGCATAACTGCATCGGGAGAGGACCAAAGGTAAATAGACTGTTAACTAGATTACCACCAAAAGCCCCACTTAGCATTGTAAACATGAACAAGGTATAAGCTGTCAGTATTATAGTATACATCTTTAGTCTCTGACCTAGCTGCAATTACCTGGGCCACCCCCAGGCAAGTTTAAAGTGATATCAATTTGAAGTCACTTTACTATTATGTTACTATGGCAGCAATGATACTCACACTGTGGCCCACAGAAGCAAAATACACTTGCAAGTGCATTTTATGACGTAAAGTGGAATATGTCATTAGTATAGATAAGCAATTTTATTTTAGTGTGGTCTCCAACTCAAAAAGGTTTAAATACTGTTGTTTTCAAGAGAGATTATGTTTGGGAGTGGATTTTGCAATGTAAATCCTAAAAAATTTGTTTTGATGTCAAATTCTACTAGCATGCACAAAAGGAGTTAATGGAATATACATTTGAGGAAGTAATCCAATGGACAAGTTCAAATTCTGTGCAGTATTTGGTAATAGTCAGTGGGCTCATACAATGTCCTGATCTGAAGACTTCTATGGCTTAGAAAGGAAACAGAGAAACTCTCAAATTTGCAAAAAATGTTAGAAACTATGGAGCTCATGAACGAATGCCAAAATCACAGATAACTTCAAATTTATCTCATGTATTGATGACAATAGTTAATAGTAGAGGATCTGACATACAATACTGCCTGAAGTCTCTTCTGGGACTTGATGAGTTCAATGAACTCCTGTCTCCGCAGATTGAATTCGAGAGAACTCTTTAACTTGCGAAGACGAGACTTATTATCGTGGCACCACGACAGGCATCGACAAGTCTCCCTTCTTGCCAAGGACTCCTCCACCTGACAATAAATGCATCCCAAAGTCATGGCTCTGATTCAATCACTGGGAAACAAATGTGACCTCCAAGACAATAATATTTCCCATCAGGATAAACCCACCATGGGATCAAGAAAGGTTTAAGACATAATGACCAACTAGAAATGCCAAGCTAAAATTGAGGAAAATAAGGAAATGGCAGTCACCAATGAAAAAAGTTTTCAAAGCACATGTGATCTAAACAATTTTCAATCCCCAACTTTGCACAACAGGGAGTCTAACCTCTTTGGAAACAAGGAAAACATCAATGTTGGTCAGGTCCTCAATGTTAGAGTGCTTCGAGAGTTTCTTCGCCGTCTCATAATACCCGCAGCGAAGGAAGTACTCCACGAGCATGCGATCCAGACGTTGCTTCTTCCACAAATTCACCAAAACTTCGTTTGGCGACTCGGCAGCCAGGAGGTGCTCCACCCGCCTCTTGCACATCCTCGCTGCATCAAGCTCTTCAGAGATGCTCTCGTCGGCCTGTGTTGCCATGAGATGAGAGGGCACATGGTTAAGTACTGAATGAAAAGTCTCACAAGACCTGTAACAAAAGCCATATTTTGCACTCAGTTCATTTTCACTGTGAATGTGAAAGCACTGCCAAATAAAGCAATCAATAATAGAATGAATGGTCACAGGTTGTGGAAACCCATCCTGTTAATAAAAAAAAACATGGAAATTTGTTGGATTTTTAAAGATATTATACAATTCGCTGATTGCTTAAGCTCAACAACAATCACAAAAAGCTAGAAAATTTTATATTTATAATTGAGTATTATTCACTCAGGCATGCAATTTTCTGCCACAAGAAGTTAATCAAGTCAATTGGTTCTCGACATTCACAGAAACAGTGCTTCCCACACACGGTCCTACAGTTTCACAGTAAGAAGATCCAAATATCTTCACAGATATTATTTATTCTTTAGATTAATGCAGGACAGCTGGTAAGGGAAAGCAGGTTAAAAAAAAAAAAACAAGGTATGAAAAACAGTGCAGAGTACCAAATTGATAAATATGAAAAGTTCTAGATGAAAAATGACACCAAGAAGTGATGAGTTCGACCATATAAATATTTTGAAATCCAATTTTAAATCCACATTCACTTGGAATTGATTTAGTACTTCAAACCAGTGCAATTCTGATTCAGCCATAAAAAAGACTTTTCACTTATTTGCTAGAGCTAAGGAGAAAGCTAAGAATATGCTCACGTGAATGAGCTAAGTGGCTCTTGGATTCCCTGAAGCCGAGGAGATTTTTAACACCAACCTCACTAAAGCCTGATCAATTAACATCATTCTGTCTTCAGCACTCAAGTCAAGGTATAAAACACCATCCCAATAAGAGCGACACTTACTTTCCTTTTCATGATTGACAGCTTCTCAACTACTCCACCAATCAACTGAGAGATGTTGCTTGGGGAAGTTTCTCCACAGATGAAAGACCTGTCCAGTTCAGTGGCCGCCATCGTGACATGACTCACCTCGCGGTCGAGGGTTTTCTGGGCAGCTCTGAATTTCTTGTTCAGGATCTCATAACGGACCTGAAATTGTGGTTCATATTTAGTCCCCTGCTTTGCAATTCATGATTTAAGATAATGTTTTGAAGCAAAGGCTTCACTTACCTTTAATGTTGGATGCTCAATTGCCTTTATGTCAGCCATTTCTCTAAGAGAAAAGGGTCATTCGCCCTACCTGACCAGCAAAGTGATAATCCTTTCCAACCTGAAAAGCCAATGACTACTTACCCATCAAAGCCATCTTAATTTCAAATTGGTAAAAGGCAAAAAGTAGTTTCAAGTCCCTGGCAGTACCAAAGACTCCTCTGGCATGCCTGAGTTGAACCATTTAGGGAATACTGGCCATTCTCCAATTAAAGCCATTCTGTTCCAAGCAAGGACTCATTCTCTTTGTCATTTGGTTCCACAGTCTGAGTTATTATGCAAAACTCATCTCATGCAATCCTTGAGTCTTCATAAGAATTGGATGTTCATAAGAGGAAGAGAGTACACAAATTTTTTCTTCAACACTAATGATATTTATATCAATAGCGCAACAAACAAACAGCAAGAGCATCACATCAGATGTCTAGAATTGCACTTAGAGCACATCCTAAAGCTTCCTTGATTCTAACACAAAGAACACAAAATCATAAGCCTACTGCTTCCTGTACAAGAACGGAGAATATGTGGATTAACACAGTCGGATCAGTTTGAGTCAGAACACAGAAAAAAAAGGACCGAACGCGGCCAGATCGTCGGCAGTGACCGCATGAACAGTCTCGCATCATCCATTTTTGTAATATCTCTTTGTGCCTCATAGGGCATATTGCATCTCGTTGACGATTGTAACTGCCTCCAGAAAATTTTTTGGTACTCTTGCTACAAATCAATGAGATGTGGAGGTAACAAAGGACATGAATGTCTTCATAAAATAAATTCTTCTGAATGCGAATAAGACAGCACATAAAACTACAGTGTGCTAACTTCATCTAAAAATGGCAGAATCATCAATTACAATGGGGGCAGATTGAAGTATACATATATATAACAGAATATATACTATACAGAGTGAAACAGATTTGTCATACTAGACCCAGAATTTAAAAAAATTGTACAATCACATTTCGGGGCAACATAAAATACATAAGGGAAGTGGGTCTTATGTCAACATCCCATCAGCAAAACACTTGAAAGTGGCACAATCCTGAATACATATCATCTGCTTCAACAACGTGGGGTACTGCAGGGCTACCAGATGTTACATATGACTGTGCTTGAACAGTATGTGGAAGTGTCCTGAATCTATTCACTTCATTGAATATCTGAATGTATCAGATCTGAATATATCTGAATGTATGTACCCCCCTTTCATCATCCACTAGGTGGCTACAAGAACATCAGGTACGATCAGTACCAGTACGACAACAATGGAATCGATCATGAATGGGACATATAATCAAATGGCATGGAGAACTACTGACTTAAAAATAATAAAAAATGACTGAGCCTTGAAATAACTGCTACTCTCCGCCAAAGATCCAAGAAAGAAAGATTAAATGTAGAAAGCATCTGCACTGACACAAAGGAATAGGCCAGTGTCCAACTCAGCCTTTATAAATCACAGGTAGACTACCAGGATTGCACAAGTGTGGTGTCCATCAGAGTAACCTTGGCATACTGGTAAACCTACTAAGATTATTCTCAAATCTAGCAACCAAGAAGAGAGAGTACTTACACAATGCAGGACCGGCCTTCACATGTTGCCTAACTGAGCATAAAATATAATGCACAAAATGATCCCCATAGCCTATATGAGACATTGTGCAGGGTGCTACAAGGACTCTACATTTTCTGAAGTTCTAATGCCATTCAGATTTGATTCCTCCTCAGGGTTTTCATATTGATGCATGTGAGAATCTTGCAAAATGGAAACCAAGAAGAGTCCAAATAGAAAGTATTAAGTCAGAATGCCATAAGTAAGCTTGCACTCATAGTGCCACATCAAAGTCAGGGATTCTGGTGTTTCCAAAATTTGTTGGGCATCTGCAGCCTCTTTAAATTCCTCAAGTCCATTAGCAAATAAAATTCTTCCAATCTTGCAATGCTGGGCAAGCACAAAATTTCATACTGGATAAAGTTTGCCAAGGGTGACACAATTTTGAAGTTAAACTTAAGAAGAAACTTTGGCACTGATGTTATACCTTAGTGTTTCAAAACATGAAAAAAGTGTGCATCATTTCATGGCATTCATGAATAAAGCATGCTGCCCATTCTGAGTCACCCTGCACAGTACATCACAGGACCACAAACATCCAATGCAATAAATAAGGAGATATGACATGGTCATCATTTCAATTCTTCCCATCATGGCCAGGAAACTCAGGATATCAAATTCAAATACACCCTACATCAACATTTATGAGATGTGGCATATCACAGAACAAAGTGTCACTGAAACCTTGTCATGTTGGTGCTTCTTACCCTATCGAGATGCCTATGGTAAGATTTCTCTCCGACTAGTAACTTACTTAGGCCTAATTAAAGCTTGAGTTTATATAGCTTAAGTTTGAATCCCAAAAAGCGGGAGAGGCAAGCAGAGAAGGCTGACAAAACTAAGAGTTTTGTCACATTATAGAGAATGGGATTTGCAGAGAGTCCTGAGATCTTGAAGGGACTCTCCAGTTCCTTGATGAGTTCAGCTGCAAGCTTCAGCACATTATTAGCAAGCATGAGGTCATCCTTCTTATGGGGCTTCTGTTCCATTTGGAGATACAAATTGATCTGCTCCGTGATCAGAATGGAGAGATTCCGATACTTATGGTTGATCTTCACACCGAGCGTGACGAACCGAAGGAGGAAGACCCCAATCGCCAGGCACCAGAACACAGCCTCAACATAGTGAAATTCAGTGGAAATCACTTCATCCTTCATCAGCTGACAGCATAGTAGAGAGAGGAGGAGGAGGCTCAGAATGAAAGCAGCCGATACGATAATGTCAACCGAGCGCTGTGGCCCGTGCTTTTTCAGATATGAACGCACAGACAACCACGTTTTGATGTTTCTCACTTTGTTGAGACGAAAATGAGGCAGATCGTTCTGCCTTGCTCGGCGAGCCGATGTCAGATAGCAGAACAACTTAGACAGAAGAAAGCGTTGCTTGAAAGTGCGTTCAGCAACTGCCAGCAAGAAGAAAAACTGAGCTGCCCATACAAAGCGGACAAGAGGACCTCCAAGAAAGATTATCAGTTCAAGGTAGCTTGATTGCACAAATGACTTGGGCAGATTTGACACTGAAGTATGCAGTGATTGAATCTGATTCAGAACCTCAATGACAGGCGAGTCACCAGATAATGCAATAGCTCGATAAGCAAGAGGTAAGAGACTCACTGTAAGAGATAAACTCAAGCCAAGGAAGAGGTAATCCATTGAATCTGCACTGTGCTCTACCTTGCTGATGATTGCAGAGCTTATGTCGAGGACAGAAAGCCCGGCTTTCTTCACTTCACCACCCTCCCAAATCATGCAGCTGACAGTGACCTTATTGCTGACCAGGTGAGAAGTACCAGTCCCTATCCCAGTATGGTGGAATAAAGACGAAGTATTGAATGGATCTTCAGCCGTTTCCAACGTGCTATCCTCGTCCGACATGTTCGGAGACTCGGAGCTGTAGCTGTCGATGGCCGTCCATTCCACGTCGGGTGAGCTATCCTGAAGAAGGGATGAAGGCTGCCCGGAAGTCTGATCCTCACTGTCGCCTGAACTCTGCTGGGAAGAGTCCATCCTCAGCAAATTCCTCCGTCTAGAACTCCCCCTTTTCGATTCGAAGCCATTTCTGACAGTCTTCTTGAGGCCAGAAAATCTCGACTGGCTCTTCCCGATGAATCCGTTCATGAGGGGCTTAGCTTCGGACCCATGTTCTCCCTCTGACAGAGGCTCACCTTCACAACCTGAACTGAGACCATTCTCAGAATATCGAACCTCAACATGACTGGCATTTGGATTCTTGCTCTTTCTTTTTTCGATGGCAGAGGCCCAGCTGGAATCAACTCCCGAATCATTCAATTCCATGGCAGAGTCTCTTCTGTCATCTTGCCCGACGGGAGCATCACTGATACCGGCATCGGTATCCTCAAATAATGCCCTGGGTTGGACTGCTTCTTCCAGCTTGCGTTCTGCTTCCTGAATCACATACATACTTTTGCTACTAGAAGAAATGTATTCATCCTGTCTGCAATTGCTCCATTCAGTCTGTTGAGATTCAGATGCAGCTCCACATGTTTCTTCAGTTCCATCATTGTTATTCTCTGCAGTAGCATCCAATGGATTTTGAAACGTTACTCTATGTGACTGGTGATACATGCAAACTTGACCATCAAGGGAATGAGATCTCTTTTCCAGTTTTTGACGTGGAGAAGGAAGTTCTGGTTCTTCTGATGCAGATCGCCTAGATCTTGTAGATCTCCTGGTTCTATACAACTTGCAACTGACATTCGAAGGCCTTTTCATATTTGGGGACGATTTCTTGACGGATCCAAGGGATTTAGAAAGGGACGAATGACTTGTGACAGAATGAGTGGCTGCAATGTGGGTGTGCACTATACTCAGAACAATCATGACAATCACAGGAGACAATATCTCAGCTATGGTGATGCCATGCCCATCTTCTCCTTCAATGCTCACCTTCCAACCGTCAGAAAAACAGCCACAGAAACATAACATCATCACTGCTAGCTGCACGAAGTACGTCGAAACGAGAAGAGACAGCAAATACTGAGACGTGTGCCGCTGCCACCACTGCCACCAGCATGGGAGGAAGAGCGCCCGACAGACACCCAGCAGAATGAGAGAGAGATTACCATTTTGAGGCTTTGCTTTGGGATAGGTCGAGCCGGTAACAAGATCAATATCAATGAGGTCTGTCTTCAGCTTCCCGGTTCTTTTTGGCACATGCTTTAGGCCCCTGAGTATCTTTTCTTCGACGGTTCGTTCCCACTGCTGCTTATCGTAAGCACCAATTTTCTGTTGATACCACTTGAGAAACCTGTTGAGTCCCATTTAGACTTCCAGAATTGTAATCAAGGCTACTGATGGGTGAATCAGCAGAATGCAGCAGCTTCTGGGAGGTTGGCAATATTACTAAAACCTGTCAGGGAAACCAGACAGAGAAAAGTTCAAGAATGGGAAGAAAGAGATATACAGATATAATGCCTATAGATGCTAGGCTATATGAAAGGTTTTCCAGCAGTTTGACTCCTATTCATTTGACCATAATTCTAACACAGAAGAATAGGCCTAGATCAAAAGGAACCTGAATTGGACCAGAAACATCCTGTAATTGGTTAATTCATTGAATATACCAGGCAGATGCTTAAAAATGCTTTTTGCTTCAGAACTCAAATACATACATGCTTTGGCATCACTTTAACTTTGGCCTTCTTTGAGATGAAACTTTGGCATGACTTCCAAAAAAAAAAGAGATACCCTGCCATGTCATGAGTCATTCTCTCAAAATTAGCTTCATCCTCTTCTAATTCAAAGCCTCAATGCATAAATTGAATTAAAGTACACCGAAACAGCCGACACATCGTCAATAAGCATCCAAGAAAGGAAGTCAAACTCCTTAATGAAAATTATTTTCTTCCCTTTCGAGGCATGTTTTGAATTAGGAATCTCCTTCCAATTCAATGTATGAAACCTTCCTGACACTAGTCCAGAATTAACCTAGATTATGAGCATACCTCCATGAAGCAAAAGCAATTGCATTACAGCATCTCCATGTTGTGCTTAGTTAGCATTGACACTTGACAGACATTCCAAAAACGTATACTATTAGGCAGAGTTGAGTGGTTGGCCTAATAAGATTCTTACATTGTAACATTAGATTTTGCTTGAAATTAATCAGAACTTCTTGCAAATTCAACTTAGACAAACTTCCACCTTTGAGAGGGAGGTTATAATGGTTATATAACACGGGGCAGTGCTAAGCTTTTGGAAGTCAAGCGGAGACAAGTAAAGCATTAGATCCAGATACGTGGAGAACATTCAGACTGGAACGGAAATCCACTGCAACTGGGTCTACACTTCCATTCGCAGTATGCCAGACACTTGATAAAGTAGCCATGGCAACAGAACTTCGATCCATCGTAGTACTACGCATAAGCCATAGGCCAGGGTCAGGCACGCAGTGACAACACATCTGCACAGACACTTAAACAAACACGAGCTTTCTGCTCACAGATCCAAAAAGCTTCACTGGACCTAGCAACATGTCACCATGCAACTTCGGGTCGAGACGACCTGGGTCGGAAGGCATAGCTCGGACGGCCTTGGTCCGTCTCCAGAAACGCCCCTTCGGAGACCTTTGCACCAATGAAGAGCGCCATCTCCCTCGTGACGTCAATTCGTGTGTGATGTCACGGACGTCGTCTGCTTCCGAACCGACCGACTTGCCCAGCCATTCCACAGCAATTTGCGGATGAATTCGTTTCATCTTTTACGTCACGCAATGTTATTACTATGGTACGTTCAAAAACGTCAGAGATAAATCCATGACAGAAAGGATATTAGGCCTATGGAGCCTACGACACTCGTGACTTGAAGTCGACCGTATTGCTTAGCTCTGGTCCTCAACGGTTCGGAGGAGGAGACGACTAGATACAGTTGGCCTGGTCTCAACCGAGAGGAAAGGCACCGGTTCCATGACCCCAGACCGGTTCCATGACACCCCACGGGTGGACCCTCTTCTGGAGCGGAGTCGACTCGACCTTGTTTGCTCAGGCCGGAACAGGGATACTCGTTAGTCTCCAACGGGCCGAAAGCGTCATGGAATGGAACCCAGTCAGCGAGCGTGTCGCTCTGAATTTCAGACTGGAGCGAGTCTTCGCCGTCGTTCGGGTCTACGGGCCGAACAGCGAGTCAGATTACGATGCGTTTTTGGAGGCGGTGGATGGAACCTTGGAGAAAATTCCGAACGGCGGTGACCGCGTTGTGCAGATGGATTTCAATGCACGAGTTGGAAGAGACGATGCTGCATGGAGTGGTGTGATCGATTTGGGGAAGCCACGCCGAACGGGAGTGGTAGAAAGTTGCTGGACTTCTGTGCTGGCAATGGCTGGACGTTTGCCTCATCCAATTTAACATCGCTGATCGTGTCAAGAGACCTGCCGTTGTTTCGGCCGACGTGGAGAACTTTACACTTACTTTTATTAAACCTCATGAGCCATTCCTTGCTCCAATCGTCCAAAAGACTGAAATCCCGCTCGGTTCGAGCCCTATCCGCCTCCCCCGTTATGGAAAAACCTATATTGGTGTCATCGGCAAATTTACTGATCTTATCCTCTACGCCGAGATCCAAATCGTTTATGTTGACCAAAAACAGAAGCGGAAAAACAGAAGCGGTCCAAGGAGGGACACCGCTTGCGACTCCGACCTCCTTTGACCTGAACGCTGGGACCCAACCAATCACGTAATTCATTCCCAAGTACGGGACCGTCCCAAACCGGCAGAAGCACTTGTAACTCTCGAGGCAACGAAGGCCTCTCCAGAGACATCTATATACTAGGTACCTTGGTACACTCTATGGGTATTCCTGAAGGGGATGTCTCACTCCTGAATATGAAATTGCTGATGATGAGATACAAACTTCCGTTTTGAATTTTCACTTCCCGCGCTTTCCACCTGACTCTCCTAGACAATGTAGGATAGTACCATCAATTCTACTGATCGGCAACATTTAGGCTCTTAATCCGAGCCACGTGAGCAGGGCTCTACTTAGACGGAATCCAATTTAAGTGATAAAAAGAACCTTTCCAAAACGTTAATTGTATATAGGATGAATTCTAAAAAGGAAAGTTTATTGAACAGTTTCCCAGGAAATATCTAATTCACGTTGTTCTAGGAATCCATAATTTGAACCGTTTTTCATCGCTTTGAATTTTGAAAATGTAACCAGTTAATAAAAGTGTGCAAGGACATTAATGGAACTCTGGCCCTAACTTGAATGAAACGTTCATTGAACACTTTCGGGTCCTATTTGGGTGGTGTTCTCTGAAGATCATGGCGATTCCTTCCACGACAGCAGAGTATTTCTTTTCCTCCGGATGCAGATGGATGCAGATGGTATCCTTCAGAAATGAAATTCCTATTCTGGGTATTGTGTATAAATGCATTGGAATGTAAAAACACGCTTGCGGCACCGCATCTAATTGTCTGTTCGAGTGCCAGAGTTATTGTGGCCTGCTGCGAACAATTCCAATTCGTGGAGAATTCAGGAAAGTTGCTGATGAACGATTGACCATTAATAAGCAAGTTGCCGAAGTTAGGCATTATTCTGAATTCGACGGATTCCGCTCGACAATTCAGCAAGAAATTCATTGGAGAAACCGGCAGTCGCATTTTGATCGCCAATATCAACACAAATGTTGACAGGACAGGTATCGTAACAAACCTTCCCCAGTCTGGACACCCTCTGACAGTCGAATAGAAAGGCACACATAGTGTTGCACTTATGTTTTTGATGATAATGCATTGATATGACCACCCAGAATAGGAACTTCATATCCAAAGTATACCATAGAAATAATAATGCAACGATCCTTCATCTGATACAGAATTGTCTTGTCTTTCGAGTAGTGAAAACTGCATTTCGAGGAGAACTACCTTTCAGAAGTTATTAACGTTCAAAAGGCGGGCAGGACATTTGGCTACCCCTGTAAATATGGAATTCTCGCTGCCAAAAACCATAGGTTTGTCGAAAGCTTCTGCTTCCAATGTCCCCTGTTTTCCTCCTTTTTCCAAAATCCGGTTTTCTAATACTTCTGACAGATCGACTTCACTAATTCTTTTCCCACTGCATTTGGTATGGACATTTTCCTTATTCCTTTTTGAATTCATTGAGTTACAAATTGGTTCGTTTGCTTCGTTTGTTAGGGTAATTTTGTAATCTGTTTCTCTTTGTCTCATTTTCGTTTGCCCCCTGTTTTCTTCATTTTTAAAAATAGTCAGTTCTTTCATTCCACTCCCTTTCCTTTGACTGGCCGTTTGCCCCTGGCCTGCTTTTTTCTTCACTTAGTCCCCCCCTCTATGTCTTTGAGCGCTTCCTTTTTCCCTTCACCTCTCCTTTCGCAGACGTCTGTCTGCAGGGGATAGGTTTATCCTTCTCTCTTTGGCTTCTTTCCGTGCGAGAAAATGGCCTTTCATAATACAGAAAGACTTCCCAAAGAAAATGCAGTGTTATTTCACGCTGTGGAAAACGCTTCCCTAGAGGAATACATTGAATGCGTCTGCATGGAATTTCCTACAACTCAGTACGCTATGCAAGTAGAATCTCAAATGGATGTGTTTGTCTGTATCTGGATAACGAACACACTGTCACTTCCCTGGTCTCTTCTGGGTTTTCTATTAATGATTTTTTTTGTGGAGGTAAGACGCCTGGATGTCTCCTCTAAGAAAGTTGTACTTTCAAATGTATCCCCTGAGTTGCCTGAGGCTGTCATTCTTGAATCCCTTTCACCTCTTGGAAAAGTGACTTCGAGATTAATGTTTATCAGTGCGTCTCTTAGGAACCCTGCCTTTGAGCATATGAAGTCACTCAGAAGAATTGTCTATTTGCAATTCGCACAAAATGAAAGCATAGTTCCTTCTTCCGTCCCCATCAGTTTTGAAGGTCGCAACTACCGCATCTTCATTTCTCTTGATGACTTAATCAGTTTCAACTGTTAATAAAAAAAACAGGATATGCAAGACGTTCATGCCCACTCATTCCATCTCCTCATGACATTGTTAATCAATGTGATCCCCCCTCCTCAGCCTTCATCCTCATTTGCTGCTCTGTCTGTTACGGCCCCTGAAACTCTTCACATGACCAATGCACTTGTTGCAAACACGAACAACATGGAAACATCTGAGACCCCTGTGATCCCAGCTGATTCAGACATTTCTCGCACAGAACCTATCGCTCAATTGGAGAATATAAGTACAATGGAGACAACTAAGGTCACTGCTATCCCTGCTACTCTTCATTCTTCTTTCACTGAACCAAGCACTCAATCAGTTGAATTGATTCCTCAAACATTTGAACACAAACCCATATGCGCCGAACGGTCGTCATTGACGTGAGCATCTGCAGCCAACCGGAAACGTTCATCTTCTCCCACTTCCTCCCAATAAGCAAAAAAAAAGTGAAGGACCATCCTCCATCTCAAATTTTTTTCTGACATAAATACACTTCCAGCAGAGACAAAAACACCCTCAGTGTCAGACATTCCCACACCTCCTCTTGAAACAAACAAATTCTTACGTTTCTTGTTCGTGGCAAAAATTTCAAATAAACCTGAAGAAGTTCCCAAGAAATACACTGAAGATACCCCAGCCCTCTGCCTCATGATTGACGCACTTTACAAAAAAAGGACAAAAAACGCGCAAACCAGCTGAAAAGCTTTAGGAAAAAAAAACTGGAATGATACTTTCGAATCATCAAACAATGCAACAGAATCAGAAATTAATGAAAGTTTGCAGTTGTCATGTGTGTAGATATAGGACGGAATCATTATTCCTATGAATTATTCCTCTTTTTATTCCTTTTTTGCAAAATGAACATATGTAGTTGGAATGCACGTGGAATAGCTGAAACTCTTCGTTCTCATCAAGCCTTCATTTTGCTGAAGCGTTTGAACTTCAATGTAATTCTACTTCAATAAACGAACCTTACTTTCTGGCAAAATAGATCTTGACCAATGGGGTTTGATAGGGTTCTGTAGCTCTTCTTCTACACTCTATTCTGGAGTCCTTATGGCTTTCAATAGAAACTCCTCCCTCTCTCTCTTGTCACATGTAGAAATTCTGGAAGGATACCATCTCCTACTTAATTTTGTTTGGGATGAACTTCCTTTCTAGTTTATAATGTTCATGTTCCACAATCTAATGAACTGGCTCTCCAACCACTTGATAAATTAGAGTCTAACCTGGCCGAAGCTCCTTCCACAGCCTATACAGAGTGGGCCAAAAGTAAGGAAACGCGTTTGAACTCCTTCTAAACTTTTATTTAAAAGCAATGGAACCTGGCAGCGATACACAAGAAAGCATATCTTGAGGAAGTATTTATAGTCATGAAGGATTTCACAAAAACTATTCAATGTGACCACTGTTAAAGTCTTTGCAAAACTGCAGTCTCACTGGTAGTGATAGGCAAACTCGCTGGCGTAACTCCACTGGGAAGCTCCGCTTTGTGGCAAAGATAGTGTCCTTTTGTGCTGGAAGAGTCCAAGATTTCATCATATGATTGAATCCCATAAAAGGAAGTCAGCCGGAGCCGAAGCCCAGACACCATGCTTGTCAATCAATCAGCCTCTGTCGCCTGATCCACTGACTACGAAAAATGTATCCAAGAAGTCCCTAATCCTGTTAGCATGATGAGCCAGAGCACCATCTTAAGAAGATTCCCTTAATTCATTGGTAATAATTTTTTGTTCATTCAGCTTTTCAAGATAGCTGTCTGCCATCTTCAAGATTGTGCTCTGGCCCCACGTACCCATGCCCCATTCACGACTTCTTGGATAAAACACATCATGTTTTGCACTAAAGCACACTATGGCTGCCACAAAGCGGAGCTTTGTGGCAGCCATAGTGGAGTCATAGCCAGTGGAGTCATGCCAACGAGTTTGCCTATAACTACCAGTGAGACTGCTGTTGTGGAAACTTGAACAGTGGTCACATTGAACAGTTTTTGTGAAATGCTTTAAAGCTATAAATACTTCCTCAACGTGTGCTTTCGTGTGTATCGCTGCCAGGTTCCATTGCTTTTAAATAAAATTTTAGTTGGAGTTGAAACGGGTTTACTTACTTTTGGCCCACCCTGTATTGTCATAGAAGGAGATTTCAATTGCACTCTAGAACCTGATGACGATAGAAAGAACAGTCATGAATACAGGAAGACCCAACAAAACCCGACTACAGACTTTGAATCAATCCCATGACCTTACTGATGCTTGGAGGAGGTTCCATCCGGATGGAAAAGAGTTCATTTTCACAGGAACTAGTCCAAGTACACCCCGAGTATGGTTTGATCGATTTCATGTAATTCACTCCCTTTTAGGTCTGATTAAAGAAGGAAACTTACAAGCAACATCCTTCTTTTCTGACCACCACCCCATTAGAATAGAAGTTGCATGTCCATCCTCCTCCTTTAGAGGCTCAGCCATTTGACATTTCAACAAAACTCTTTCAAAGGATGACGTATATTGCTCCAAGTTCAATACTATCTGGAATGAAATCATCTTTGCAAGACCTGAATATAACTCATCCACTGAATGGTGGGAATTTGCAACGGTTAAAAACAGGATGTGTACAACGGAATGTTCTACTTTGAAAATGGCAACATTTTCAAACAATCTGTTCCTTTCAATCTGAAATTGATTATTTGAAACTTCCTGATTATTCATCGCCAATGCTTGCAGAAAAAATAGAGAAATAACGTGATTGCTTAAATCACTTACACATAAGACACCTTTAGTGCTCCTCCAGAACTCCTTGGAGCGAAAGATTTTGGATGATTACCATATCTTCGTCAAACTCAAGAGGAACGATGAATACTTCAATTCCTTTTGGGGGGTCCCTATGCAAGACAGATGATAATGGAGACCTAAATTTCCATATTGACTTGAGGAGTTGAAAAGGAAGTATCAAGTGCAAAAAATGCCCCAAAGACTCCGTTTTGTGATGTAAGTGTTATTGTTGTTTGTGTGATTTGATTACGCCAGTCTAAACCTGGGGGGGATTCTTTTCTTGTGACGCAAAACAGCTCCCGTGTCGAAGGCGTCCATGTTTGCATGGCATGGGGGGATGGGGAGTCTCTAGGTCGACTGGTTGTATCGACGGAAACCGCTAGTAGGGCTTTTCCGGAAGTCAAAACCCGTTTCTTGCCGATTCTCTTCATGCGGTTCGCTTCATTTTCTTTTTTTTTTTCTCAGAGTCAGGCGTTGGAAGGGGTCGGGGTGGCACTTCATGAGATCATGCTATGGAGAATACATGAAGATAAGGGTGTTCAGTGTCGAAGGTCACCCTCTTTTCCCCTCGTCTGTTAGTAATTCATACAATTCGGTCTGGATTCCCGCCAATAGTGCCGGGTGTAGGCCGCTGGTGAGTTCTCGATAGCGACTGATATCGACGGGATCCGATGATACGAGCATGGCAACTCCAGAAGTCGGGAATGTGCAATTGAGGAGGACGAAGAAGTGCAAGTACTTCGTGCAGGTGTTTGGTTGCGGGTATCGCGGAAGAAAGATGAAGGCATGCCCCAAACACAAACACGACCTGTTGTCGCAACTGTGCCACGACCTGCACATACCCGAGAAAGTTCCCTTTCGCATGGAGATCTACGACGAAGAATGGAAGGAGTTCGTCGATGTGGACTTGACTCGGCTGCCGGACGAGGCGACGCTGCGAGTGCGCTTCGGGGAATCGGAGGAGGTCAGTGCAGTTCAGGTCGTTCCGTCAGGTTGGTGTCGCGGTGTTCCTGCGTCTTTCGCTATAATGGACGTGGGAATTGCATTGTTATCTTTGCTGTGGTTGTTCCGGGTCTCTCCGTTGCAGCAAGTTCTCTGCCGTGTTTTCTTGCAACTCAGCACGGTATATAAGGACTGGTATTTAGCTGATATTGGTTTCTGCTGACGTTGAATATATTATTTATTGCTTAAAACCGTCTAACTTGGCAAGTTTGTTATATGTAAGTAATCGCGAAGAATTCCTAAATATTTCTAATTCTCAAATCAGAAAGTATGCGTTGGGAATGTATTTATTGAGGCAAACTTTATTTCATATATTGAGAGAATCGAGTGACATGTCGGTTTTCTCTTAGTTTACGGAATCCAACCAGATCCGTTCATGCCGAATTGAGAATATACAGAGAATTAGAGTCATCAGACTTCTTTAAACGCAGGCTGACCGGAAATGCCCCCCTCCCCAGAATGTTCACTTTTCCGGAAATATCCAGGAAACATTTGAATCCTCTAATATTGCATATCAATAACTTATTAGTACTTTCATCTGACCGATGGTTTTTCATGCAAACAGACGGCTCCACTCGAAGGAGATAGTAGAAGCAGATGGTCCCGCGCTAATCCGAGTGGGACCACACCGATAATTTTTTTGGAATGCCACATGTGTACATGTGAATGTATACACATTGAGCCCGGAACAGTAATTTTTCGATTTGACGTAGCCTAGTATTCACGTGCCCAGGAATCAATGTGCTAAGTTGCACTTCAGTAGCTCATATCAGTTCTCGGAATACCTGGAACTCGGTTACACTCTAAACTCGAGGGCGGATTGGATCTCCGTGGGGTTCCGTTCTAAGCCTGGCATAAGAGGGAAGCAAATAAGAGAAGTGGTGAAATTCCGATTGGGATATCGCCTGACTGGAGACGACGTCAACAAAACTCGTTCAGAGAGGAACGTGACCTTCGAGCATCAGGAAACACTCGAAGCGGCGTACTCAAGCCTCACACTTTCACCCCTCATCTCAAATGACTCGGCGTCGAGCTTTGTTCCTTTGACGTGTGAAGGTCCCCCTAGCCCAAGTGCCTGGGATGCGTAGAGGGAGGAGAAATCCGTGATTTCGTAGGAGTCTTAACGCGAACATGGAGATCATCCATCTTTCAAGATATCCTCAGCATGTTAATCCCCGAGATAAAAAATGAATCTGTCGAGAGAGTTTCAACCGATTGCCCAGCTTCCACTCATATTACATAGAAAGACGGTCACCAGCTGGATCGTCCACAATCTGATGGAGTAAATAAGGAATTTGAAGTTTTCAGTTGAGCGAGAATTTTTTTCTCTGGGCTCCACGGCGATTCGTAAAAGGCCGACATCATGTCGCTGAAAGTCGGTCCTAATCACGATTGATTGTGGAATGCATTCGTCGTGAACTTTATTAGTCGTCGTGCTTATTTTTACCGGAGCACTCTTCCACGTTACGTTATCTAGAGTGAATGCCGAGTCTGGCATCGCTTCACGCCTGAAAGATAACGGTGAAGCGATGGCAAGTTTAGTCCTATAGACCTAACTATACCGTCTGAGAGTGCAATGAAACTTGATTTTGTTGTTAAATGGAACTGGGCGTAATCGTAGCTGTCATGGGAGAGGTCTGTTTCTGTACGATATTAAGCTTTGTGGCTATTGTAGGAGGTATTCCATGGTTGTATAGTGCGTCTTGTAACTCTCCACTATTATCTGTCTGGCTGTACTGTGGAAAAATGGCAGCAATTTCGAGCGGTCTGTAATTTCCCCCCCTTTTTTCTTCTACCGTCTGTCGGCAGTAACCATGGCGACCGGACATGAGACAATGCGCACTCGCGGTTCTCCGCCTAGGTCAGGGTGCCACTCAATGACTGAAACATCATTTCCATTCCAGTCCTTGCTGATGGCACATCCATTGTAGACTATAGGAGTGAGTGGCTGCTCGCGGCCGTGTTGACAGGGTTGCTGGGCATTCGCGTGAAATGGAGCATCAGGCATTCAACAATTCCTCTCTCTTCCCATTTCCACGGGACCCGGACGTACGAACCATCCAGAGCACTGTCCAGTTGTGCAGAACTTTTTTTTTTAATACCGTATTTAGGCCTATGCCTAACCAATGAGAGTTATTTTTTTGAAGTTGCATGATGAAGATAGCGTGAAGAAGATAAGTCCCGAGGTATCGGGACTAGTGAAACAGGAGATTTGTACCTGGGCTGGTACTCTAGTTCTAGTTGCTTCTAGATGCAATCAACTCTCCCTTGGTTCAGTCCATATTGACGACCACCGCCTCCGTTAAGCTTGATATGCTTAGCTTTGTCAGTCCATATTGACGACCACCGCCTCCATTAAGCTTGATATGATTAGCTTTGTCAGCTTGGGATGGCCCATGCCGACCAAAGAAGCGAATGTTCCTTTCGACCGTTCATGCATGAGTAAAAGCAAGACGGGTGATACCACGTAAACACTCGCTGATAGTATTTCCACTCTCTGGAGGTAGAGGGAGAGAGAAGGTTAAGGACGTTAGGCCCGGGTGCGAAGCTGTCTCCTTCACTACCAGCTCACTGATATGAGAGGCTTATAAGTGTGCCTTGAAGGTTCGGATTATATAAATTTCAATGGATCTTATAGATCTGTTAAGCCAATACGACTACTATATTTCTAAAATTCTATTATATCGTCCCAATTGGATATGGTGAAAATCTATTGTGAGCACGGTTTAATCATTTCGGGGGTGTATTGAAATATGGTTCACCCACTTGAACATATTTTAATGTGAAACACTTAACATGCCAACACTAATGGCTTGACGGTCAAAAAGATCTGAAATAATGTAATTACCAAAAGCTCAATAGAAAAATATCAGACAATACCAGGGTAAGAAACGTGAGGGATAAGCGCAAGTGTATGCGATGTCCAATATAACTATTATCGTGCTATCCTTGTTCATGGGTATGGATGAGTTGTCCCCTTTGAATCCCAATATTGGTAGTTCTAGATAAATGTTTGTCTCTCAGATTTTAAGTTTCTTTTAATATTGGTCGTGGTTGAATAAATGTTCAAGATGCAGTGCCAAGGTTCTAGAGCAATTGTTTTTCACAATTAATTGGAATATAAAATTAACTGCAACAGATGTGACAAATTGTGGCAACTGCTTCCATTGTACAATATCTCGCTGTCATCTCTTCGTCACTCCAAATGAAGAGGGAACCTTATAGGAGAGTGTTCCAGAAAATGTAATTCAATTGGATATTAAGTGATACGTTTAGGCTCCACGGGAATACTATACATTGGAGGATTTGTAAGAGAATATGTGTTTATTATTATACAAGAGCATTTTCTGTCCAGGTGTAACTGGACATCTGCAAAAGGGACTTTTCATCCTCAGAAAATTTGAGTTTTAAAGTGGTAGGTCAGCTTAAATATGTGGTGAAACATTTTTTGTGACGGCCGCTTTTTCGTGAAGGACACGGAAGAAGAAGAGGAAGATGACAAGGCAGAGAGTGAGAATAAGGACGAGACAGAGGATGGAAACGACGGGGAAACGGGAGACGAGGAAGCTGGCAGCCAGAGTTCGAGCAAGTCATGGTCAACTGCTCCGAATACGGCTAAAAGCAAGAAAATTCTGCGAGACATTGGAACTGGAAGGGAAAACGCTCCGCGTCCTGGAATCAATAAGGAAATTCCACAACGTCCTAGAATCAAGAAAGAAATTCCACAACGTCCTAGAATAAATAAGGAACTACCACAACGTCCTAGAATCAAGAAGGAAATTCCACAACGTCCTAGCATGAATAAGGAAATCCCACACATTCCTAGAACGGCGATTCTAGCAGAAGAAATGAAGGGTTTGGCGAAACCAATCCAGTCTGGGGTCGACGGGAAACCGGCCATTTACGAGCTCTGGAAATCCGTCGTGGTGGAAAATAAGGATATGGGAATAGCGACATTTGACATCGGGCCACGGCTTCCGACGAAACAAGAGAGGGTTCTCATGATCGTGGGACAGACCGGTGCAGGTATAGCCCAACTCCGAACATCGAGGAAAAATCTTTAATTCATCAGATTTGATTCACTCCATATTTTGCTTGGATATTCATTTTTCTCCTTGTAAAAACAGGGTGTTTCAAAAGTCCGTACTCATGGGTATTTTGAATTAATTAAATTTCTCATTGCATGAGTGTACCAAAATTAGTACAGAAGTACTAAGAAATACTCAAAGGGGGTAATGTGCCAGGATTGATATGTGTATGGAAGTTCATGCCATGCAATTTGAACATCTAATGAAATAAAGGTAAATTAGGAAATCTGCCTGAGTCCGGACTTTTGAAACACCCAGTATAACGGACTCCTATTGCAAAACGCTGCTGATCGGTCGTTGTTTCTGTAGTATGGGTACACTATGGATAGAAAGAGGCCCCAAAATAAGTAATGCGTATGAGATTGCCAGTTCATAGGTGATTAAAGGAAGTGTTTCGCTTCAGCTAAAAAATACATAAGCGATAGTCAGAACAACATATTATAATAAGAAATGAAAAAATGCCGGTCCTATTCAAATATTAACTGTTTCACAAAGGATGGTTTGGCAAGGTTAGACTAGGATTGCTAGATAATCCGAACCTCCATGCCTTGGAGTTATAACTGTAACTGTTAATTACCATTGAGGACAAGTGAAAGCAAAGCACTATGTAAGCGCAAGTGATGCGATCTCGAAAATATTATTTATGCGAATGACCTGCCCGAAATCGATAGAGCAGGAATAGAGACGGAATAGGAGGCAGAATAGAGTATGAAGGAGTTACCTCTCCACATACCTCATGTTTTATTTATTTTCAACATATTGGGTGACATGGACCTCCCAGGTTTATGAATTAAAGGCTTCTGATTCTAGTTTAAGAACGACTTATGACATGCACCACATGCAATCAGTTTACTTCTCACTTAAACTAATATTCAAATATAAATTCGTTACATGGCAGGTTTAACCCTTTCCAGTCCGATATTTTTAAATTTCGCAGGCCAAAAGGTCCGTTTGTTTGCACTGTTTTATTTATTGAAATTGGTTCGAATAAGGTTTTATTATTTACAATGAAAAGTAATATAATTTTATCGCCACGTTATGCTCAGCGCAAAACAATCAAAAACATCCAAACTTGTTTCTTTCTTAATAATTAGTCCTTATAATTTTCCTTTGTGTGGTACTTTGAGATAGGACCAAATTGCAGTTTTATAAATTTCATCCCGGGGATGAGGTTGTACCGCAAAGGGTTAATTCCCTAAAACGGATTCTCAGAGGTAGTTCATTGAACTCTTTTGCCGGAGTGAGCCTCATCCTTCTTGCCTCTCGTCATTTGGCAAAGATGGAAACGAAAACTAATAAGGATGTATACGTTTTGGACGATCCTGAAGCGTACTACCAAGGTCTGTCAGAGTTTGGCTAAATACTCTTGAATGGTTCAACGAAGGCGAATTCCGATCTAGGTTTCGTCCTTCCAAGGACCCCGTCGTCGTCTTAGTGCGGATGATGGAGCAACTTGTAGCCCATAATGCTCATGATTCTCTTTCAAAGTGCATCAACGCGAAGCTTATAAACGCGTTTTAGTCGGGGAAATAATAAATAAAATAAAATAAATCGTAATCGTGGAAAATAACTTGATTTTCAGTGGTGCATCAAAAGATGAAAACATTCTTAAACATGTTTAGGAAACGTGTTAATCTTGTTTTTAAACTGAATCGATTCCTCAATTGGTGCGTGTTGACGACTATTAAGTGAGAACTGGCAAGCAATACTGGGAGTTTGGAAGTTTACTCCCTAACTAACTTTCAAAGTATCAAGATTTGAATGAGAATTGTATTTTTGAGCATGGAAACGAGCACCCTTTCGAATTACATAATTCGGCTGTGGCTCCGAAATTTCCTATGTTTCAGGCGAGCTCCTTTCAGTCTGATTATTTCAAATCACATGCAATTCTTAAGGAAGAATTTATACATTTCTTTAACACCACTGGAAGAATGCATCTTTAGATTGCTCGTTACTAATTAGAGAACTATTTCGTGAGATCTTATAACGCCAGGAAATGTGAGTTTTGCAGTCTTCACGTGTTTTTCCTGTTCACTCGTTTTTCAAACGTGGCCGTCTCTCATGGAAATATTCATTCTACAGGAAAGACAACGATGATTAATAGTCTGGCGAATTACGTGTATGGCGTCCAGTGGAAGGACAACTTCCGGTTCAAGATCATCACAGAGAAGGGCGACGTGAAAGCGGATGACAGGGCCCACAGTCAGACAAAAGGGATCACTGCCTATTCCTTCAACTGGAAGGAGGGGATGGCAATCCCGTACACGCTCACTGTCATCGACACTCCTGGCTTCGGAGACTCCGAGGGCCTCCACAGGGACGAGGAACTTGTTGTCAAGGTCAATCTCTGATTCTGACAATAAGACTAGTAGTAACCTAGAAGGGAAATTTCATATCATCTTGTTTGTCATAACAGGAATTTTCATATAGTCATATGCAGGGAAAAACGTTTTCTTCATTTCATTTTACTTGCTAGGGATGAGGTTGGGAGAGGGCTGCTGGGAGTAAAGCATCTGTGCGACCGTGTGACCATCGGAACTACTGTTCGGTTGCTCACAAATAGCGACGAACCCCTCGTTAGCCTTGTGATCGCTCACGAACGCGTGGCTAGAGGATCTTTTCTGTTCCAAATTGCATTACGAGTAGCAAGATCTCTTGAGCTAGTGCTGGATAATGGACCACAACCAATGTTGGAGGAAAATAATATCCAAGCCAAAAAACGAACTTCATGCCACCATTCGTACGCTAAAGCGCCGCGTGCGTTTACCAGAAATTAAACAGAATGTCATCCTCAGAAGACATTACATGGCAAGAACTTGAATCAATCTGTACCCATGGGCTGTCTCTGGAGTTGTTCAATGTAGGCTAGGATCATCTGGCTTACGCTCAGACAGAGAGATTTTTGACAGCTGTCCCAGATCGCGTTTTTACCCTGACTGTGATACCGAAAATTTACTCTAAAGGAAAAATTGGGATCAATCACATGTTGGGCCTGAGGCACCAATCCCCAAAAACGTATATACTGCGAATTCACCGAGAAAAACTGTTTCCTCCTACAGATGCGGGAGTTTTTTGACCTGTGCGAACCATGTGGATTGAAGAGTGTGAATGCCGTGGGAATCGTGCTTCCCGCTTCAACTCCAAGGCTGACGGCCGCCCAGAAGTATATATTTCATGCCATCACCCAACTCTTTGCTATTGACACGAAAGAGAAGTTCGTGCTGCTTGTCAGCTTCTGCGACGGGCAGGAACCAGCGGTTATCGCCGTCATTAAGAAAGCCAAGCTGCACTACCAAAAATATCACACTTTCAACAACTCCGCCATGTTCGCTTGCAATAGAGATCCCATACAAAAGTTGTTTTGGGATATGGGACTCAGAAGCATCAAGGCTTTTTTGGAATCTTTGAACACGATGGAGCCCGTTGGCCTCGCCATGACGAAGGAGGTACTTGTTGAAAGACGATCTCTCACTGAGACCCTGAAAAAATTGCAGGAGCAAATCCCAAGAGGTGAGAGAATTCCGGACATACTGAGGATTATCTTTATAAGTTTTATTTCTTTGGATGAGGATCTTCGTGAAAGTTTCAGATGTTTGTTTACCATTGTGCAAGAGGTTTAACTTCGAATTTGAGAAAATTCGGAAAATATGACCTGCATGTCATGATCTGAAATCTTATCCTATAATTAAAAAAAAGATAACGTGAAATTCGTAAGTGAAAGAGGCATGTGGTCAGGTGAAGACTAATTTTCATTGGCTTCCCCTTTCTTTAACAACCGCCCCTCTCAGTAGGACTCAATCGTTTGGGCTAGACATAACTAGACAAACTGCGCTATCCTGTTAATAAGGGATCTCCGGATGAGATATGGGCATATCCCACGAGATCGGTCAATAACAGCTAAATTCCACTTCATTCTTAGTTAAACTCATAAACCCAGCACAAAAATGTGTCATATATGAAAAACATACGATCCAGACGCGAACACAAAGATTAAAACAGTCTTGAATCTGGCCTAACTTCGGCGCGGTATCCAGCAACACTGGAGAACAGTGCCAGACAAATCACTCTAAGCCTACTTGAACAACAGCTAATTTTACTTTTTTGGCGAAACAGAGCATTGCAAGCGAAAAAAAAGCCACTTTTCGTAATATTCGTCAATGTCTTTCTTATGGTTGGTCTCTCTCCACGGAAAACTCCCACAGAAGTGGCTAGACATGGGGGAGGGGGGGCTAACGAAAAAAAAAAAAACAGAATGAAATTCAAATCCTCAACAAACAAGATTCAGTGCTCTCCACAATGCCAGGGAGATGGAGCTTTAAATTTGCTGGAGCGATTCTGTGGTGAGAGAGTATGCCAAATTTCATTCCTGCTGATGATCTCAGAGAGAAATGCAATCAGTTTGAATTTTGCTGCCGGAAGGGGTTGAAGAAAGGTAATTGGTCCTACAGCACCTATTGAAAAGACAGCAAATTGTACGCTAGACCTAATGGCAGCCACTTAAGGCAAATATATCCAGGCATCTTCAGGAGCTTCACATCTCTACCTTTTCTTTCATTCATACCTCCCATTACTTTGCCAACGTGATCCATGTGAAGGCGCACACGAGAGAGTCTTATTACTGGATGGTGCTTTCACCATCTTGAACTCTTTTCCAATTGGTGGAATCCCCTTCTTTCTATTTTTAGCTACATCGAAAATACATGGTCTTCAAGAAAAATGCAGACAGCTCACAGAAGTGAGAGAGGAGGTGGCAAAGGTCGTGGATGTCGCAGAGAAACGAGTGAAGACTCATCTTGAACAGGAGAGGGCCATAAACTGCAACGACTGCAAGAAGACCACTTGCGAATACCCAGCAACGCATTTAAAGCAAAAAGACATCAAATACAGTAAATGCATGATCCCGAACGAACAGAAGAGGATTATATGTGGTAAATGCGGCTGCTCCTGGAGGAGTCACTGTCTGGAAGCGAAAAGGTACGAAGTAAAGTCGGTATACAGGCATAAGGGTCAAGAAAACGCAGTAGGTGTTACCCATCAGGTTAAGAGAAAAGTGAATCTGGAGAAGGATGTGAAAGCACTTACCACCGACATCAAGAAAAACCAAGTGGAGTTGTTCGCCCGGATCCAGCAGGCGCATAATATCACGGTCCGTCTGAAGGAAATCGCTCTCAACCCGAATCCCTTGACCCTGGAGGAATACATTGATTTTCTGATCGAAGCTGAAAAAATGGACGCCCAAGATGGGTTTAAGAAGCGGATCGAGCACTTAGAGCAAGCGAAGAGGGCCTCGACTTTATGCAGGAAGATCTTAAATGAGAATGGCTCGGCTGAAGCCATTATGCCTGACGTCATGACAATGCTGGAGAAAGAAAATATTGATTTCGAGACACTGGACGTCGTGGAAACTCCAGTAGTTACAATTGACCAACCCAGTAGTATGGTGGAAACGCTCAGGGCTCTCTTCAACTCCATCGTTAGAAAGAACACGAAGAAGACAAAATTCGTAACGTGAGGCTCTTAATTTGGTTTATTCAGAATGCATTTGCTAACCAATATATTCACTTCAAGTTGATTGTTTTGATTTTGAAACTGTTCATCCATGACTTTTCCATCATGTTTCGCACGGTTTTTTTCTGTATTTCATGCCTGTTATACCTAAGGAATTGATATGTTCCTTGTATTTGGGACTCACTTGCTAGGAACAGTTAAGCCCCATCCAAACTGAATTGCAGTACTATATAGTGAAATGGCGATTTGGAAGTTGTATATGTATGACCTTGAGATTCATCAATATATTTAGCGCAAACTGGATCTTTGTTTCCCAATGTATGGAAAAAGTAGGAAAATGACACATGGTAGGATTAGCATCCCCCCATCAAGCATATCCTGCAACTTAGGAGGTGTGGTTAAACCTAAAATCAAGGTTTTCAACTAATGTTGCGGCTGGAGATATTTAATGAAATATTTCCATTGCGCTCCATGCGCTCGAGAGATTATCTCAACTGCCAGTGCATTGCCGCGAGGGCTTATGAGGGAGGGCCTTCGTCCTAATGAGGCGACACACGATGACGTAGAAGACAGGCTGACGTGCCAAGACGGAGGCTGACAAGGCCACACTACCCCTCGAAGGGGTTCGGAGAGTTCCCACTTAGATCTGCGCAGGAAAGCGATTTGGGGCTGGAACGT